TTAACATGGTCGTTTTGACACAATGCCTCCATAAATCCGTCTGAGTGATAATTTTGATTATATGTTTATTTTCATGTTTTATTTATTTATTAACTCGATAATGAATGGGTTGTTTACAGTGTCAACTGAACATGTTACAATGTTGCACTATAATCACCAAGGATTTTTTTTTTGAGGAACTTTATTTTCTTTGTGATTAAAACACCCAATAAAATACATTCAGTTATTTGTCACAGTAAAATGTGTACAATGAAAATGTCATTTCACAACAGGATTTAACATGTGCATCTTATCGGAGCGGACTTCCGATTACGCGATGATAAAAAATATCGGCGTAAAGATTTTGCGTTTCATGTTGTTCCCGAATTTTGACACTTTCCTCCATAAATGGATGAACGATATTTTTAAATAGAAACTGTTGAAAATTTTAAATCTCGACCATTGGTCTTCGAACCGATTTACCCCTAAGCCGGAGATAGGATGTAAAAGGATTAGAACTAAAACATAATTAATAATCTTTCAATTAATTAATCTTTATGTAAGGTATTAGTTGAGATAAAAAAGTCAGTGTCACAATCGGGATTCGAACCCACGACCTTTGGCTAAATACGCAGCTGCTCTCGGGAGAGTTGCTGTCCGAGGGGATCGAAGTCACCATAGCTCAAGTGGTAGAGCAGCGGCGTATTTAGCCGAAGGTCGTGGAATCGAAACACGCTCGTGCTACTGACTTTTTTTATCTCAACAATACCTTACATAAATATTAATTAGTTCAAAAATGTTATTTGTTCAATCGGACTACGAAATGTAATGAATATAATTAATAATATAACATAAAACCAACCGATAGCATTTTATAATAATATAAAAACTAACTAATAATTACAAATAAAAGATAAGAATGAAGTTTATAAAACAGTAACACAATATATGGGAATATTTTATGTAGAAGGCTTAACGAAAATTTTTATAAAATCATGTAAACAGGAAATCATTAAAACAAAAATTAAGTTTTACACATACATTTGTGAAATGGTACATATCATTTTTTCTTATATAACAGAGTCAGTAAACTAAATGCAAAAAATCCTACATTGGAAAAATGTTTTTATATAAAAGAGTGAACCAACACAAATAGATGTAAGGAATAAAAGGGAAACAACTATATTAGGACAGAATGCAATAAAAAGTAGGCATAAAATTAATTTCGATGAAGTTCAGGTCTAGAAATAAGCTATATAAATTTAGAAGGCAACAACAACATCCAACTATTAATTATTAAAAATAAAATCTGTAGCCAATATAATAAATAAATGTACAAAAGAACAATAAAATTTAAATTAATTTAAGGTTTTAAGTTGAGATAAAAAAGTCAATGTCACGAGCGGGATTCGAACCCATGACCTTCGGCTTGATACGCCGCTACTCTACCACTTGAGCTATGGTGACTTCAATTGGTCAAGCGGACCACGAAAAATAGTGAACCTGCTTCCCGATTTACTCATCGTCAACAAGACAAGAGGATCTTTAACGTCCGCACCTGGCTCATGGCCTTATCGGACGCTTTGATTCTCAAGATGAGAGCTGACGCACTTCTGCATACGACGGAAAAGTATTACCGCCGCAGCATTGGTGTAGTGGTGTCCCGGCCCCTAAGGGTCAGTAGCCACGCTCTCCGCTTGTCCACTCCGAATGGTCGGGCCCGCATTGTGCGTCGGGTCGTACGCCGCACGCGAGGGGCTAACGGGCCGAAATACATCAGCCCGTCCCCCCCCTCGCGTACTCCCTAGATAGAGAAGGCGACTCTATCTCTCTGAGTGTAGAGGCTCCTCCAGCGTAGAAACTTTCGGGAACGCCCCGACAGCGGTTTCGGATTAAAAAGTGGGATTGCTACCCACCCCCTAGATGAGTACTGCCTACGGACAAAGGTCTCTTATCAAGCTCAGCCTACACCTGCTGCACGTAATCGAGGGACGCCATAGGTCTAGCCTAGGTGGTCCGATCCTTCGCTTCCCCAAGGGTACCACGCCGGTCATACGCACAACAATGCAAAGCATACTCGTCAGAAACCGCCGATACCACTACCCTTTTCCAGTCGCTTACTCACGCATTCGAGGGACTGTAGCATGATCATGACGTCCTCAACGCTTACATGCTGTCGTCCGGTCGCAACGTTTCCCGTGAGGACCGGGGATAATACATTGGCCATACGCAAGCTTCACGAAAGGTCCCAGGTAGAAGACAGCCTCTCTCTAAGTTCCCGCCAGGGGCGTCACCACAAGCCCGTTCCCAATGTGACAGAGGGCCGGATTTTGGAACATTTCTGTCTTTCTGTCTTTTCTAGGAAAAGGTCAAAAAGCTTGACCTATGCGTCCCTCATGAGCTCACTGACAGTCCGCGGTTAAAATGCCTTGCGTTTCGAAGCTCGCCAGGCAAAAAACCCGAGCCTTTTGTTGAAAGAATAATTACTTACGATGAAAAATTGATTGCATATGACAATTAGCGTCGGTCAGGGCAGTGGTTAAACATCGACGAAAGACTAGGACCCATGCCCAAACCAAATTACACCCCAAAAAATTGATGGTGATTCACTATTCCTTTTGCCTAGATGAGAGACCATCTACATCGTACTGCAAGGAAATTACCAAAATGCACAATAATTACTCAAAAACCCACATGCGTTGGCAAATCGAAAAGGTCCTATACTTGGCCAGGCCTCACGTTTCAAAACGTACTGTAAACAAATTGAAAGAACTTGTCTACGAAGTTCTTCAGCATACACTTTATTCTCCGAACTTGTCTCCAACAGATATTCACCGTTTACGGAGATAGAAAACTTCCTCAAAGAAAAAAATTTGAAAATGATGTTCAAGTCCAAAAAGCGTTTTCAGATTTTGTTTCATTTCAAAGCTCAGGATCGTTCAGTTCCACCGTAATAAAGTTGATCACGGGTTGGGAAAAATGGTTAGAAAATAAAGGCAAGTATTTCGAATAAAATCATTTTGTTTTTAAATAGTAATTTTACATAAAAACCTTTACCTTGGATATGGACATTTCATGTGAAACAACCCAATAAATAGGAATATCACAGATGCTTGGCAACTTACAGGTACTTAGTCAAAAAGTTTGGTCAAAAGGATTAAACAGGTTTGTCAAATAATAACAAAACACCATCTTCTTAACATAAATAGGAAACGTAACTATAAAAATATAAATAATAAAACAATTTCTCTTAACAGGTACTTATATATATCACGTAGGTGATGACTAGCTTTCCTTTTTGGGAGGTGATATACACCCTGCCACAACGGATTTACCTCCTTTTTCACAGCCTGTTTTTTTTAAATAAATAATAGTATACATAAATAATATTGTTTATATTTTCTTTTCATTAATTAAAATCTAATGCGATTTGCTCTGATTTCTTGGGGGAGAGGGTTTGTCTTGTTCTAAAACTTAGATCATAGATTGGGAACACTAGATCATAGTTTTTACAAACCATTTTTTAAATTTAAACACTACTTTTCTTTCCAATAGTCGTTTTAATTTTTTGATGTATCTGATATATATGTTATGGGTTGGTAAAATTTTTGCCCTCTGAAGATTTTTTTTTTTGTTCCACTCGTTCTACTATTCATTGAACCTTGTTTTTATTTTCCTAATTGAAGACAATATCACTGTTTTATTGTCCTATCAATCAAATTGCCTTTAAATAAAAAATTTTTATAGTAAACAAAAAATTATACTTTTGGAAGTGATAAAATTATCTCGGACATGTTCAGCTCCTCTTGATTTTATCCAAAATCTTTTGCCTTATGATCTTGCATATTAGCCATGGTACGAATTTTTGTGTGTTCAAATTGGGGGTTATCGGGAAAAAAGGGCCAGAGGCGACGGTGGGAATCGAACCCACGACCGCGGCGTGAGAGTCTCTCATGCTAGCCACTCGGCTACCGCGGTCCTTTTATTTTCCTTATGGAAGACAATATCACACGTTTTATTACACATGTTTTATCGCCCTATCAATCAAATTGTATGCAATATTAATTTTCATTTTGAATGAATGACTGGATGAATAGTGTAAAACCCTATTTATTTTCCTATGTCCTCCTAAACTATTTTCTGACTACAATCCTAACCTTAAGTTAACTATTAGAAAAACTGGTCGATGGCGTAGATGATCATATTAATAAGAATGTTCAAAATAAGTAATTCTGTATTTTCTAAATATATAGACTGAAGAGGAGAGATTGGTGCTCCCGAAATTGATTTCTTTTATAAATGGATTTTATGGTTGTGAGTGCCTTAAAAAAGCCCTTAAAAAAACAAATTAAAATAAATCAACAATCAGGAATAAAGAAGAGGAGAATAAAAGGATTAGGATTCAGGCGGATTTCCACCGTCGTGGACTTTTCTCGGGCTTAAAATCCACGTCACATTAGGCACAACGTCGTCATCACAACGAGCCCGTCCGCTTTAATTAAAACAGGCCGGAAAGCCGATAACGCGCCGGATATCGGCGGAGGTACAGACCGGCAGATTAATTGAGACGTCGCAACTAGAATTTGAACCGATTAAATCTAGATTTACAACGTTATCCGGATGGGACACTGACAGCGGACGATCATTGAGCATAATTTATTGTGTAACGTTGGTAATAAAGGCTAATTTATTATATAGCAAAATGTGGTCACTTGTATACCGATAGATACACTCGATCTTTCGCGAATTCATAACTCATTCATTCACTTTCTACCGTAATATATTATTTATCTACACGACGAAAGGATATTTCCCATCCTCATCGATAATTTAGTCATCTCTCATATTCACACTCAATGATGTCACTTTTCGTTTCCAATGACACCTGTCTCATTATACGTGCTGATTAAATTGAAGTTTTTGTAGGATCTATCCTCAAATGCAAAACTTTGTAGTACAATGGAGAAGTCAGTAGAGTTTCATTTTCCATTTTTTAACCGACATGACTAAATGATAATTTAATCTCTAAAGATAAGTTACATTATCAATGAAAGAATACATTTTCAGTTTATTCCGTTGAGAAATGTCATCGAGTATGGTGCTCTCACTGATCTTTCTGCTGTTTCTACAGGTATTGGTTATTTTCATTGTTAAATTTAAAAAAACACATCGATTTTAAATAAATTATACTAAAAATGAATATTTGTCTTTGAAACTCTGTTGATGTAAAATCGTAGAAAAACATACGTATACATGAAGAGGCCACAATGTTCACAAAATTGCCTTTATAGAAATACTAACAAGAGGCTAAGGATGTACGAATATTGATTCAAATTGAATGAATTTTGGTAATAATAGGCCAAAAAATATTAAACACCTTAGTAGCTGAAATTTTTTTTAAAAATTACTTACCTAATTTTTTAAATGGGGTATTCTGGTTTCCAAAATCTATTTACATAGTCGAAAAGCTGAAATGTTCATCATTCTAATGATAGAAAGCAAAACTAATGGAAATGAATTTAAAAAAAAGTAAGTGAAAAAATAGACACCGGAGAAATAAAAGTTTTTTACTGCAAATAAAATTATTTTGAGCCCGCTTTAAAGCCTTTAAATACAAATTTTTATAGCAAACAAAAAATAATATTTTTGGAACTGATAAAATTACGTTGGAACTAAATGAAAATGCTCCTCTTGATTTTATCCAAATTCAATTTTTTTACAACTAATGGCAAACGAAATTTCTTTTCATACAGACTTCGTCAATAATATTATGCTTTTCATTACAAGTGGGAAAAATAAAAATGGAGTTAACAAAAGTTCCAAAAAACGTTAAAAGTATAAGCAAGGGTAAAGCCAAAGGTATTTCTGGGAATGTGATCAATGAACAGTTGCCAGGATATCGGACGATTTTCACCGATGGGTCAAAATCAGAGATAGGCTCAGGGTGTGCCCTGTTTGACCCAACGGCGAACTATGAATGCACCATTAGTGTACCGAATGAATGTAGCGTTTAATCGACAGAAATCGATATATCAGGTGCTCTTTGCTACTTATGCTCAGCAGAGTACAAAAAAATGGTTCTCACAGATTCTCTTAGCTCAATCCAAAAATTAGTACAAAAGAAATTGAAATTTACGGATCATGTAATTTTAGCGATCTTAAAAAATGCCATCATTAAAGACAGCAAAATAGAAAGTCATCGTAGCATGGTTATGGGCAGATGCACGTGTGATGTAATGAATGGGCAGATACACTAAGGGAACAATCAGTGAAATCGGCGGCGGTTTTCACTATTTAAATTACATTTCGATCTGATCCCAAAGATTAGAAAATTTGCTTTGCAAAAATGGCAGCTGAAATATCAAGTATTAGAAAAAGACCCATTTTAAAAACAGATTCAACTAAAAGTTTACGTGCAAAACTGGTTCAAAAAGGGCATGTCGGGAAAACTATAATTAGGTTAAGGTGTAACCATGCCGTGTGAAAACAATGTAAAGCAAAAGTAGGTTTGAGCCAAACATCAAGCTGCGGGTACTGCAAAGGGGAATAATCGATTGAGCATAATAATACGATGAATTGCGTAAAGTACAGAGATGAAAGAAAAGGATTGTTTGATGGTCTAGAGAAAATTATGGAGACCATTTGACTACAGGATAATTATATGTGCAGGGAATGGTAAGGTGTATCAGCTGTTTCTTAAATATTTAAATAAAATCAATCATAATGTACAGAGAATATTAGCAAAGAGATAGGGTTATGGGGGGGTGGCGTGGGCATCGCGATGGACCGCTGGTCTAGGCACCTACTTGATTTCCTTGACTGTCCGATGATTTAGGATGTGTTTTTTATTACGGAAGGTGAGAATAGCATGGCACACATGCACATCCTTCGAAGTCAGTCAGCTCCCTTCAGCAGAACAGAAAGAATATGTTAAGAAACATGGGGAGATGCTTTGGCTTTTATCAAGGGGTTGCATACCAGTTGTGTGGGGGGGGGAGTCCACCGTTCGCAACGACGTAACTACCACTCGTTTAAGGCTTTAACGCCAATACCAAAAAAATCTGATTTATAGATAGAATCGTTTCAAATTTATAATTATTTGTGTAATCTGAAAAAAATAGCAATTTTTAGGAGGAATTTTTTAGGGAATGGTTATTCGGAGATCGTGAGACGCGGTCTGGTGTGACGTAGGTTTTAGAAAAACATTTTCCTTATCGTGCCAAGGTTTCGATCTTTATTGAGATTATCTTGAGGGCTCAAAGTGTTTGTTTTCATCGTGATTGTGTCATTCTTGTGTGTCGTGTTGAGAGTGTTGGGCACTCCTCCGAATAATGATTGATTAACGGTCACTAAACACCACACATTTTTAACGAATCTTTTTAAATTTACACAATAACTGGTATTTTGGTGTTTCTTCGGTGTTCAAAAATCGAATTTTTTTTCTCGAGAAAATAGGATCTTGATCTACTTTTCTCGTTAGGGCACTAGGTCGTTGAATTCGCCAGCTCTATAGCATGCCATTGTAATACACAATTAGTGATCGAAGAAGGTGAAATATTTTTTATCGATAAAAAATTTCGATATTCGGATTTTGCTCTTTTAAAAACTCTTGAATACAAATTTAAAAAAAATACTGTTTTTTCCTCGAAATTTTTGCCTTACAAATAAATTAAACGGCTGCACATATCAAATGAAAAATTTAAGAGGCATTAGAACTTTATCAACTATTATAGCAGCACAAATGTAATCTTAAATAAATTAGAAAATAAAAAGTTTTGAGGGTTTTTGTAATTTCAACCTCATTTTTCTTACTTAAAATGACAGAAAATCTATACTTTATTGTTGTAGCATGAAAAAACACATATTTTGCTTTCCAACGTTTTAAAAATGTATCAATTTGGATAAAACCCAAAATATCTATGAATTTTCAAATGAAACGTCATATCACCAGAAGAAAAACTAACCTGCCGTACCCAAAAATAGCCATTTTTTGTTTGTCGTAAAATTTCGTATTTACTGGGATTGACGAATGCTTACAATGATTAGGAATCAAATTATAAAAATTACATAGTTTACCAAATGCGTTGTTTTATAGACCCAATTTCATTTAATAGGTCTTCCACTTGATCTGTTTTCCTTAGGTATAAAAGCAAAACGAGACATGTAATAACATTCCTTGTACAATAAGAAAAAATATTTTAATAACTATGCAAATGATTTAAAATATTTTTCTCCACCACTTATGGCTTATTGGAACGTATGCTCGGACTCTTATGTAAATAATATTGTACGACCTAGTATCACCAAGAAAAGTTAGTATTGCCACTATCGCCTCTCCCTGTAAATCGAAATAATATCTAGTAATATTTTAAATAAATTTTAAAAGAAATAATAATAAAAACTTAAACGGTTTTTTAATTGTAAAAATAGCGCTTCAGTTAGCTTTTAAAAATAAAATTGTCTTTAAACATATCAAAATTACTAATGATAAAAAATACATTTTTCAGCAATGTACCTGTTTTACAACTGCAGAAAATACAAATTTAGAAGTGAACAACGATCAGATTGAATCTACCGAAGCAGCTTTCCTGAAAATGAATCAATTTATGGAATCGGTGAACAAGTTTCAACAAGATTGGGTTTACGTACAATCAACAATAGACGAGGTTATAATGAATATTAAAAGGATCAATAAACAACATGTGACCTTGAAAACTCCTGAAAACGAGGTGGACCACGATAGCATGGTTCATAGTGATTATTATGACTATGATGCACGTCGGTCAAAAATTGTACATCAGAAACCAGCTGGTGACATCCTGGCATCTCCTGTAGAAAACTATTTCGGCAATATCATGAATGAAATAAAAATGTTTGAGAAAGAAATAAATTTCCTAAGACCCCTGTTGGAATTACAACTGAATTCCTGCAAAGACTGTAAAAAAGTGATTCAATGGGCCAATATAGCTATTCTCTCGGCTGAGGAATATTTGTCTCAATTGATCGACAAGCAAAAAACCGGCTATCAGCTTATTAAGAAAGTGCACAAAAAATGCAGTAAGTACTACTCGCAAAGAGTAGAAATAGAAGAACAAAAGTTAAAGAATGGCTTGTGTTCTAACACCGATGACCTCTCTAAGTTCTTATGCGAAAACTATGATCTAGAAGATAAATGAAAAAAATCAGACGAAAATGCGTATTACATGATAAGAAGATTTACATCACTATTTTTAAAGAACTAAATTTCCTATTATAACCATAAATTAGCGTAAATAAAATGTATGCATTATCTAATGATTTTTTACTATATGTAACACGTATATCATAACATACTAATGTAACATCCAAATTGTATATTATACAACCACCAATTCGTTGAAAATAAAATTATACTAAATGTATTGATTTATCCTCGAATCGAACTTATTACTTCTGTGACTTGCTGACAATATTGACAAGAGACGAGAACTCGGCTGCCCCGTGTGATATGCCTTATCCGCCCTGTCGCCGATGTTAACCTCTCGGGTTGAGGTGTGGGTCAGAGTCTTACTCATTCTTGACTGGTGGAGTATTATACATTCTTCTATTACTCACATATGTAACTAATCTGATTGACGACCAATGGAGCACTCAATATTCCTCCATCGGTCCTTTGACACTACACATTCACGCTAATAAATAAGTGATTGAAACAGCAAGGCGCGGTGAGGTGAGATGTATGCCAGAAAAACAATTTTCCATTTAATTTCTGACGTTTCGACTAATTTGTGGATACTTTTTCTCAATTGTAAATAAGGGCTCCATTTTCATGCCAAATTAAAATGTTCTGCATCGTAGAAAATTTTTGTTTTTATGTTACCATTAATGAAATTAATATACGAAACACAATATTTTAAAAAAATCTCAATCTAAATAACGATTTTTATGCTGATTTGAATTGCCACTAAAATTAGCTTTTGGAAAAAGCTTGAATAACCCTATTAAGTCAATTAATTAAGATTTCCCTTGTTTACTTATAATGAACACGTTGTTGGAAAAAACTTTTCTGACAGTGAGAACAAATAATTCCATAAAAAAAACCCTGGTTGGAACACGGGTCTCCACCAATTTTTGTAAGTTTTAAGAACAAAACCTGCACACAAAATATTTGATACTAGAATACATTTACCTCCTACTACACAAAATAAAAAAAAAATTAGCGCTCAGAAATTTTCCGATTCACAGTCGGCTCTTGGAAAATCTACAAAACTTAGAAAGTTGTATATAGGCATTAATCTCAACAGAGGAAAAATTACAATTAATTAATAATAAATGATAATAATAAATAATTAATAATAAAAATATTATACATATTTAACTAATCATAATAATTTGTTAAAGAAAGAACCTAACAATATTTGAAATAAATATTAATTTTAACTAGACCTAGCTAAGTCATATAAGCCATCGGGGTGTCGATGTTTTCGAAAAACGCCTCATTGTAAGTATGGTTTGAATGCAGCTGGATTGGAACTCGGAACCTTTAGCTTACAGTGATAAACGCTGTCACGACTAAACCTTTGCTGCCACCGATGACCCTTACAGCATTAATAATGGGTTATATTTTTATAGAGTGCTACCTAACCTTTTACACTCTTTAGTTTAAAAATAAAGAAAATCATTTCAATTTCATCTTTTCAAGAGACACTTTTTGTAGCTAATTAGTTTTTAAATCGTTTTCTTTGACAATCATTTTTCACTCTTAAAAGTCTTTAAGTCGAGAAAGCCCGATGCTCTTGGCCAACGACGGACGAAGCTTCCGTTACATAGTCCAAGTCGTGGGTGTGCCGCGCTCTATTATCCATGATGGTCTACAGAGGTTTGGAACCACCAGAAGTCTCCATCGAAATAAAGGTAGTGGTCGTCTACATGTACGACGGCGAAATCTTTTTACTGCTCTCACCGCACCACTGAACGGACATTTAACTTCCATGATAAGTAGTCCACTCCAAACGTAATACAAGGTAAGATGTAAAACAATCATCAGAATGCCTCGTGAGAATAGCCTTCTCTCTAGACGTCTAGTACTTTTAAGGTATCGAGTAGGGCTATTCGCAAATATAGTAGTTATAGTATGTAAGAATTACCGCAATGAAGGTCTACTGACATGAATCTCATAGAACACTTATGGGATGTGATGAAGAGACGGTTCAGACATCGTTCGCCACCTCCAACAAGCGTAGCTTAAAACCGCATATGTCGAAGAATGGGATTTGTTTCACAAGACGAAATCCGATCGCTTATCTACTCGGCCGAACAGAACAAATACCATTTTTAAAATTTTGATATTTTTGACAAACTGTGCGTGGAAACTTCATGCTGAATGGCGTAGCCATAGTTTTTAAAGATTTTGGAAACTTGTTTATTGATTGACATTTATTTGATTTGTTTTTATAACAATAAAATAATTACATTTATTAGGTTTTGTGGTCCTATTGACCAAATAAATTCTTTTCAATTAATTAATCTTTAATTAAGGTTTTGTTTGAAAGAAAAAGTCAGTGTCACGAGCGGAATTCGGACCAACGACATTCGGCTAGATACGCCGCTACTCTACCACTTGAGTTATCGTGATTTTGATCCAAACCAAAACCTTAATTAAAGATTAATTAATTGAAAAGAATTTATTTGGTCAATCGGACCACAAAACCTAATAAATGTAATAAGCAAAATGAACTACACTTCACTAAAACTCTCCATGGCCATTTCATTTGTCGCCGAGAATCAAACAGATTACACGACATTTGAAAAATGGCAAAAAGGAAGGAAATTTCGAGAGGTGGGTTGAGATGGGAAGTTCCTAGGATCGAATTCACGATATCTCAAGTGGTAGAGCAGCGGCGTATTTAGCCGGAAGTCGTGGGTTCGAATCCCGCTCGTGACACTGACTTTTTTATCTCAACCAAGACCTTACATAGTAAGAATAATTTTTACCGTTTACACTATTAACCAGTGTCATCATCAGGGTATAAGCATGGAAAAAGTCGCAGGGATACCCCTCCGGAGAAGCATAAACCCCGTCTAATAGATAAGAACAGTGATGGTCGGTTTAATCGAAATGTTCAATAACTACCAACTTATAAATTCGTTATGTTTTGGCCGTTTCCGATTGAATTGAAAAGACTATTATGTTAAATTTAAATAGAACTTAAAATATTTGTGAGAATTACTTACGAAAAAGGATGTATCTGGTAAGAAAATGTTTTTTATTGTACAAGCATATATTTTTTTATTATTACTCTAATTTCTTTTACAATGCAATAGAAATTTAACATGTAATGAAACACAAATTTAAATTAATACCACGGGGTTTTCATTTCTTTTTTTCACTACATTGCATCTCCACAATAATTGATGCGTTTTATGAAGGAAACGAGTTTTCATAGCATAAAACAAGTGGAAAATAAAGTGAGTGGCACAAGCGTTAATTTTATTTATTGAATATTAACAATCATTTTATATGCGTTTCTATAACACAAGTGTCAGGTGTGACAATCTGATATTGGCAGCCCTATGGAATACAGTAAATTTACTAATTTCGTGGTCCGCTTGACCAATTAATATATTACAATTAATAAAGGTTTTTAGTTGAGATAAAAAAGTCAATGGCACGAGAGGGATTCGAACCCACAACCTTCGGCTTGATACGCCGCTGCTCTACCACTTGAGCTATTGTGACCTCGATCCACTCGGACACTAACTTCTCATCTGAACCCCACCTTTTGAATTTTCCCTCTTTTTTGCCATTTTTCAAATATCGTGTTATCGGATTGGATTCTCGGCGATAAATGAAATGGCCACGGAGAGCAGCGGCGTATCTAGTCGAAGATCGTCGGTTCGAATCCCGCTCGTGCGGTTGACTTTTTTTATCTCAACTAAAACCTTAATTAATTGTAATTGAATAAGTTTTGAAAATTTTTGCACAAAAAGTTTTAGACAGATTAAAGAAATTGAAAATTCTGTCATTTATACTATACTATCTCTTGATGTCCTTCTGTCATAGTGTGTTGATCGCAGATCTTTAAATTTTTTTTATTAAAAATATTTCATTTATAATTTTATCGTATTGACCTGGGTTTGGAGGCCAATTTGCCAAGAGTTTATTATGAAAGGTGTTTCCGATTTTGAATGGAAGGTTGTTAACTCAGATTAAATGTGGATTCGGCTCGGACGGTCCCGGAGGGTTTTGGGGCCGTTACCATTGTCATTACACCCGGATTGCAAACAACCGACAAAACCGATTACACCCCGAACGGCCTGAGGATCCGATAATTAGTGGGTACAAGCCTTTTCCAAACAGGCCAGTAGGTAAATTAATGTTTTAGGAATTGTTTCAATTTCAATAATTGAACTTGTAACAACATATATATTGGCCGAGGCATATTGGATATTACAAAGGTTCGGCACTCGATCCCTGTTTCACGTTCGTCACATAGTTCGATACACTTTACCGCGGATTCGCGGAATTTTCAACTCGTTATCAATTAATATCAAGTATCAAAGTAAAGCAGTGACCTGTGAAATCGACGTTTTGGAAAATATAAAATCGGTTATTTGCCTCTCATATCAAACAAACCCGATCTCTTATCTCCTTAATGTGTGGTGATTAGTGACCGTTAATCGATATTTATTTAGAAATCCTGAGATGCGGTCTGGTGTGATGTAGTTTTCAGAAAAACATTTTCTTTATCCTGCCAACGTTTCGATCTTTATTGAGATCATCTTCAGGGCCTGGGATTTACAAAAATTGTTTACATATTACAATTACATTTTGGATGTGGAAAAGTGAATTTATACAATGCAAAATATATTTTTTATATATTAAGTCAAAGTATTTCTATTCATCAAAGTGTGTGTCTTCTGTGTAATTGTGCCATTCTTGAGTGTCCTGTCGAGAGTGCCAGTGAGATTTTGCTATTTTGTGTTTATATGCGTTGGATTTTGAAGGGGTGGGGAAGGATATCGGTATAGAAAAGACACGACACGGCGAGTAGACGAAAAGACTCTTTGAGTGAGTAGAAATAGTTTGATTGAATATATAAAAAGTATATTTTGCATTGTATAAATTCACTTTCCCACATTCAAAATGTAATTGCGATATGTAAACAATTTTTGTAAATCCCAGGCCCTGAAGATGATCTCAAGAAAGATCGAAACGTTGGCACGATAAAGAATTTTTTTTTCCTGAAACCTACATCACACCAGACCGCATCTCACGATTTCTAAATAAATATGTCCTTAATGTTAATTTTAAA